ACTGAAAACCCTAGAAAAAAAAAGAAGCAGATACACCCAAGAGGAGCAGAAGGCTGGAAAAAATCAAACTCAGGGCTGAAATCAATCAATTAGAAACAAATAAAACTATTCAAAGAATCAAAGAAACAAAAAGCTGGTTCTTTGAGAAAATCAACAAGATAGACAAACCCTTAGCCAAACTAACTAAAAAGCAGAGAGAATCTATCCAAATCAACAAAATCAGAGATGAAAAGGGTGACATAACTACAGACACAGAGGAAATTCAAACAATCATTAGGCCATACTACAAAAGCCTACATGCCACAAAATTTGAAAACCTAAATGAAATGGACAATTTTCTTGATAGATTCCATCTTCCAACATTAAGTCAAGATCAGGTAGAAAGCCTGAACAGCCCTATATCCCCCAAGGAAATTGAAGCAGTCATTCATAGTCTCCCCTCCAAAAAAAACCCTGGGCCAGATTGTTTCAGCTTGGAATTCTACCAGAACTTCAAAAAAGTTCTCATACCAATTCTCCTCAAACTATTCCACAAAATAGAAACAGAAGGTACATTACCAAACTCATTCTATGAAGCTACACTCACCCTGATACCTAAACCACACAAAGACCCAACAAAAAAAGAGAACTTCAGACCTATCTCTCTTATGAACATTGACACAAAAATACTCAATAAAAAACTTGCAAACCGAATCCAAGAACACATCAAAGATATCATCCACCAGGACCAAGTAGGCTTCATCCCAGGCATGCAAGGGTGGTTCAACATACGGAGATCCATCAATGTAATCCACCACATAAACAAACTGAAGGAGAAAAACCACATGATCATCTCCTTAGATGCCGAAAAAGCATTTGACAAAGTCCAACACCCATTCATGTTTAAAGTCTTGGAGAGATCAGGAATACAAGTCACATATAAAAACATAGTAAAGGCAATATACAGCAAGCCTATAGCCAACATCAAACTCAATGGAGAGAAACTTAAATCAATCCCACGGAAATCAGGGACAAGACAAGGCTGCCCACTCTCTCCCTACCTCTTCAACATAGTATTTGAAGTCCTAGCCAGAGCAATAAGACAACTAAAGGAGATCAAGGGTATACAAATCGGAAAGGAAGAGGTCAAAGTGTCACTATTTGCAGATGATATGATAGTATATCTGAGCGACCCCAAAAATTCAACCAGAGAACTCCTCCAGCTGATAAACACCTTCAGCAAAGTGGCAGGATACAAAATCAACTCAAAAAAAATCAGAAGCCCTCCTGTATACCAAAGACAAAAGGGCCAAGAAAGAAATTAGGAAAACAACACCCTTCACAATAGCCACTAATAACATAAAGTACCTTGGGGTGACACTAACCAAGCAAGTTAAAGACCTGTTTGAGAAAAACTTCAAGTCTCTGAAGAAAGAAATCGAAGATCTCAGAAGATGGAAAGATCTCCCGTGCTGATGGATTGGTAGGATTAACATTCTGAAAATGGCCATCCTGCCAAAAGCAATCTACAGATTCAATGGAATTCCCATCAAAATACCAACTCAATTCCTTACAGACCTTGAAAAAAAGATTCTCAGCTTCATATGGAGAAACAAAATACCCAGAATCTCCAAAAACCATCCTGTACAACAACAGATCATCTGGAGGTATCTCTATCCCCAATCTCAAGTTGTACTACAGAGCAATAGTAATAAAAACTGCATGGTATTGGCATAAAAACAGAAAGGAGGATCAATGGAACCGCATAGAAGACCCAGAAATAAACCCACACACCTATGAATACTAGATTTTTGACAAAGAAGCCAAAACCATTCAATGGAAAAAAGACAGCATCTTCAACAAATGGTGCTGGTCCAACTGGATGTCCACATGCAGAAAAATGAAAATAGATCTATATTTATCACCCTGCACAAAACTAAAGTCCAAGTGGATCAAAGACCTCAACATAAAACCAGATACTCTAAATCTGTTAGAATAAAAAGTGGGGAACAGCCTAGAACTCATTGGCACAGGAGACAACTTCCTGAACAGAACACCAACAGCACAGGCTCTAAGAGCAACAATCAATAAATGGGACCTCATGAAACTGAAAAGCTTCTGTAAAGCAAAGGACACTGTCATCAAAACAAAACGCCTGCCTACAGATTGGGAAAGAATCTTCACTAACCGTTTATCTGACAGAGGACTAATATCTAGTATATACAAAGAACTAAAGAAGCTGAAAAGCAGCAAACCAAGTAATCCAATTAAAAAATGGGGAACAGAGCTAAACAGAGAATTCTCGACAGAGGAATGTGGAATGGAAGAGAAACACTTAAAGAAATGCTCATCCTCATTAGCCATCAGGGAAATGCAAATCAAAATGACCCTGAGATATCACCTTACACCCATCAGAATGGCCAAGATGAAAAACTCAAGGGACAACACATGCTGGAGAGGTTGTGGAGAAAGGGGAACCCTCCTCCACTGCTGGTGGGAATGTAAACTGATACAACCACTCTGGAAATCTATTTGGCGCTTTCTAAGACAATTAAGAATAGTGCTTCCTCAAGACCCAGCTATACCACTGCTAGGTATATACCCAAAGTTTGCTCAAGTACACAAAAGGGATATTTGCTCAACCATGTTTATAGCAGCTTTATTTGTAATAGCCAGAACCTGGAAACAACCCAGATGTTCATCAACGGAGAAATGGGTACAGAAATTGTGGCATTTTTACACAATGGAATACTACTCAGCAATCAAAAAGGAGGAAATCATGAAATTTGCAGGCAAATGGTGGGATCTAGAAAAGATCATCCTGAGTGAAATATCCCAGAAGGAGAAAGACAAACATGGTATATACTCACTTATATAGACCTATAAGATATGATAAACATAATGAAATCTATACACCTAAAAAAGATAATCAAGAGAGCGGACATGGGGTAAGATGATCAATCCTTGTTTAGAAAGACAGATGGGATGTGCATTGAACATATGACAGGAGTCTACAGATTGCATTTGAAAGACTCTAACTAGCAGTGTTTTCAAAGCAAAGACTCATGACCAAACTTTTGGCAGAGTACAGGGAATCATAAGAAAGAAGGGGAGTTAGTCTGATGAGGAAAGGAGAGGAGCTCAAGGACCAAATATATCTGGGCACAGGGTCTTTTCTGAGACTGACATGCAACCAAGGACCATGTATGGATATAACCTAGAACCTCTGCTCAGATGTAGCCTGTGGTAGCTCAGTAACCAATTGGTTTCCCATAGTGAGGGGAACAAGGACTATTTCTAACAGGAACTCAATGACTGGCTCTTTGGCCTCCCCACCCCCCAAGGGAGGAGCAGTCCTGTTAGGCCACAGAGGAGAGCTTTGCAGCCAGTCCTGAAGATACCTGATAAAACAGGATCAGATGAATGGGGAGGAGGTCCCCCCTATCAGTGGACTTGGCAAGGGGCATGATGGAGATGAGAGAGGGAGGGAGGGACTGGGAGGGAATGAGGGATCGGGACATGGCTGGGATACAGAGTTAATAAAATGTAACTGATAAGAAAAAAATAAAATTAAAAAAAAAACAAGAGTTGAAGACTGTGTAGAAGTTAGGGAGAGTTTAGGAGTTGGAAGGGTAGGAGCTGTTATTTTTATTCCTATCACATATTCCTCTTGTAAATTATGTAAATATTAAAAATTGTGAGAAATTGGTATATTCCCAAAAAAAAAAAAAAAAAACTGGAGTGACAACACATACTGGAGAGGATGTGGAGAAAGAGGAACCCTCCTCCATTGCAGCTGGGAATGTAAACTTTTACAACCACTTTGGAAATCAATCTGGTGCTTTCTCAGACAATTAGGAATAGTGCTACCTCAAGATCCAGCGATTTAGGAAGGTTTTAAAATTCCAATGGTCACTTACATGTTGTAAGAACCTACAATCTGAACTTGTGTTTTACTATCTTTATGCTCCCAGCGTACTTTCTGACAGCTTTAAATCAACCATCATAATTGAATTCAGAAGACAGATTTCAAATAACTGCACTTTTTCCTTTCAGCTTCTCGTTAAGTTGTAGTTTATTTTAAAATTTTATGTGAAACACACATATTCACAGAGTGGAAGAAACTATATTCTAAATAATATGTTTGATGGTATTACTACTAATAATCTTTTGCTAAATTAGATATCAGTGTCTTCTGAAAGTACACCTTGTTCCATTTTTGTTAATACATGTGAAGAAAAAAATCCTAATAAGTAGGATCAATATGAGTACTCTACATAATAACATTTCCATAGCCTATAGAAAACTGTAAAAAGTAAATAATACTATTTTGGAACATATGTTAAGGGATCCTGGTTTTTGAGCTCTTCCAAAATAGGAAGACACTGTAAAAGAAAAAAAAAATTAAAATACTTTTTAAAATGTTAAAATTCACCTGGTTAATCTAACTTTATTTTACATCTGCTTAAAGATAATTCTGAACTCTGACAACTTGATAATCAATAAGTATATAACTATTTTAGTTTGCAACATTTTACCTAATGACATGTCTGACCACAACATGTAGAATAGGTAATAGTTGAGAGTTATTCTTTCAGATATCAAAAACACATGAAAATTATTTCAACTTGTATCAGAAAGCATTGGATTCCTGGTAATATTAAACAATATTAATGTTTGCTATTAGAATAGAAGTCATGTTGTTATTTTAGCATAATACTTACTCTATTAAAAAGATTTAAAATTAGTTATAAGCATTTCTTCTGTTGAAGGAATGTGTTTGATAATGTGAATCTTAGGTAATCTGTTTTTTTTTTCCTTAATAACTCACCTATTGACTCTGTTAAGGATAGTTAAATACCAGAAACTATGTGAACCTACTGTCAATAGTACTTCTGGCCTCAAAATTTATTGTAGTACAATAAAACAATTTTAAAATGATAGTAATGAACAAAGATTTTTCAGAAAATCTTCCTAGTGCCATTATGTAAAAAAAAATTAATGTACACTGTCTCTTTTAGGTCTGGATCTACCATTTATGATGATGCCTCATCCCCTACTTCCAGTCAGCTTACCTCATGCATCAGTTGCCATGGCAATGAATCAGATGAACCATCTCAATACTATTGCCAACATGGCTGCTGCAGCTCAGATTCACAGTCCACTCTCCAGAGCTGGTGCTTCTGTTATAAAGGTAGGGATCGTGATTTTGAGGAAGATAAAAGCATTTATTAATACAAGCTTTGATAAATATTAGCAGTACCAGTAAATCTTCAGTAAAAGCACATAGGTTATTGACTCCTATATTATGCAGTGTTTTTGAGACTGGTTGCTGACTACGCCTGCCTGATTTTGTTATTGTTTGCCTTTGTTTTCTTTCTACTGCCACAAATCTCTGTTATTCAACTCTTGTGTCTTGAAGTTAAGTGTATTGTATATAAGATGTGCAGTCAAACTAATCACAAGGAGGAGGTTATCACATTCTTATTTGTGTCTTTGGGTGATGCAACAATGTACATCTTTTTGAAGTTTTAGTGAAAATTTTAAGTTATTCTTTATTCTACAGTATTTTTACTCAGACAGGCCTTGGTCCCAATTCTAGTTTGCTAATGATTGACTGAATGACCTGAAATATGATAATTCCCTCTCCTGAACATATTTCTTCAATTGTAAAATGAAATTCACAGTAACTTTCTACCTCACTTACTCATTCGTTAACTAGAAATAATATGATCAAAGCATTTATTAAACCAATAGAACATTGCTGGAAAAAAAATGGTTAAGTTGATGAAGCACTTATGAAGTTATGGTGATGTTCTTATGGTTCAAATATTGGTGAGTAGATTCCATAAGAATATATATGATGGAAAGATAAGAGTCAATCATTCAAACACGTTAATTCTTTCTTCTCTTCATTTATTGAAGACATACTTTACTATTCATACATATTAGACAATAAGGGAAAGGGATAAGATATGCTCTCTTACTTGCAAGGGCATTCAACATAAATATGAAGCAAGTAAGTACTCAAAACGTTTATTAAAAAGGCAATGGATGATAAATGTGAGTAACCAAATATCAGAGGTATTCAGAGGAGAGATAGTTGAGCTCAAGCTTTGAGAAAAAGTGATATGATATCAGAAAATACATTACAGTTGATGGACTTAAACTTGAAAACTGATCTTTTATACAGTCTTATATATTTCAGTGGTCAAGTGGAAGTTTCTTACTTGTTTGAATATTTTCACTGAGTATACAGTCCTTTTATGAACAAACTGCCTGAAGTCATTACTTAAAAAGATGGAATAGGCCTCTGAAGAGCCGGTCTAGTGGTTTAAATGACTTCCATTTCCTGCAGTTGCAGAGGAGCTGGGTTCAGTACCCAGCATCCACTTGGACTCTAACACCACCTTTGTTTATATATGCCTTTAATTCCAGCAATAGTAGGCAGAAGCAGGTGGATCTCAGAGTGTGCTCTGATCTACACAGTGCTCCAGGAAGGTCAGGGTATTACACAGAGAAACAAAAGAAAACGAAGGAAGGAAGGAAAGAAAGAAAGAAAGAAAGAAAGAAAGAAAGAAAGAAAGAAAGAAAGAAAAAGAAAAAGAGGGAGGCAGGGAGGAAGGAAAGAAGGAACAACCTTCACTTAAAGCTAGGAAATTCTGGGATGTAGAAAAGATCATTCTGAGTGAGGTATTTCAGAAGGATAAAGACACACAAGACATATACTCATTTATAAGTGGGTACTACACCTATAAGATTGGATAAACATACTGAAATCTATACACCTAAAGAAGATAAACAAGAAAGAGGACCCTGGGTAAAAGGACCAATCTTAGAAAGACAAATGGAATAGACACTGGAAGCAGGAGAAAACAAGTAACAGGACAGGAGCCTACCACTGAGGGCTTCTGAAAGTCTCTAACTAGCAGTGTATCAAAGCAGATACTGAGATTCATAACCAAACCTTTGGCAGAGTACAGGAAATCATATGAAAAAGAAGGGTGAGTTAGCATGACCTGAGAGGACAGGAGCTCCACAAGGACCAAATATGGTTGGGCACCGGGGTCTTCTGTGAGACTTTATCTCCAACCAAGGAACAAGTATGAATATAACCTAGAACACCTGCTCGGATGTAGCCCATGGTAGCTCAGTATCCAAGTGGCTTCCCTAGTAAGGGGAACAGGGACTGTCTCTGACATGAACTCAATGCCTGGTTCTTTCACCTCCCCCCAACCCGAGGGAGGAGCAGCCTGGCTAGGGCACAGAGGAGGACTTTGTAGCCAGGTCTTAAGATACCTGATAAACTAGGATCAGATGAAAGGGGAAGAGGTCCTCCCCTATCAGTGGACTTCGAAAGGGGTGTAGGGAGGAGATGAGGGAGAGAGGGTGGAAATGGGAGGGAATGAGGGAGGAGGGATACAGCTGGGATACAAAGTAAATAAACTGTAACTAATATTTAAAAAAATAAAAATTTAATTTAAAAAGATATTCTCTTAGAAAAGAAACAAACATTTATAATATGGTACCAGTCGTATGATACTCAATTGTCAGAATATAAGTTTTGAACTTTCATCTTTATTTTTAAAAAAATTGCTTCTTCTTTTTTTAATGATGTATTTATTATTTATACAGCATTTTGTCTGCATGTATGCCAACACACCAAAAGATGGCACCAGAACTCATCATAGATGATTATGAGCCACCATGTGGTTGCTGGGAGCTAAACAAATAACTTCAGAAGAACAACCAGGGCCAACCTAGAGCATAACTTTGTGTTGTTTAGGTGCTAGCTTGCAGTATGATTTCCTTGAGTGTCACTGAAAGTGCAGGATTATTTCAAAAGCCCTGGGTGCAGCAGAAAGTTGTAATATAAACTTTTTTTTTTAATCTGAGATAAATATCTCAAATTTTCTGAAGCACATGGAGAGGATGTGAAAGAAAACCTACAATTTTTCTGTGTGTCATTTTTATCTGTTTTCTGTACTTTCTTTTCTTAAATTTATTTATTTATTTATTTATCTATTTATTTATTTATTTTTTACAATTTATTCATTTTGTATCCCAGCTGTAGCCCCCTCCCTTGTCCCTTCCAAATCCTAACCCTCCCTCCTCATCTCCTCCCATGGCTCTCCCCAAGTCCACTGATAGGGGAGGTCCTACTCCACTTCCCTCTGACCCTAGCCTATTAGGTCTCATCAGGATTGGCTGCATTGCCTTCCTCTGTGGCCTGGTGAGGCTGCTCCCCCTTCTGGGGGAGGTGATCAAAGAGCGAGCCACTGAGTTCATGTCAGAGACAGTCCCTGTTCCCATTACTAGGGAACCCACTTGGACACTGAGCTACCATGAGCTACAGCTGTGCAGGGGTTCTAGATTATCTCCATGCATGGTCTTTGGTTGGCCAGATATTTTGGTTCTGTCGCTCTCCTTGAGAACTCCTGCTTTTTTTTCTCATTTATTAGAGTCTGTGGCTCTGAATACCTAACACTGATTCATTCAATAAGCATTTATGAAAGATATTTTCAATGCCGTGCAGTATCAATGGGATGCATATTTGTTTCCTGTCTTAATGGTTTTACATGTTGATGAGGCAGTCAGACATAAACATTGAAACGATGGAGGTGTTCAATCATCATGCTTTCCCAGTGTTCCAAGTGCCATAATCACACTTACATCTTGGAATTCTCTCTTTGTGGTCACATGTAAAGTTAACTTAAGTGTGTTGCTGTGATGGTTGGAATGATAGATATCGCTCACAATCTCAGGGATTTAAATACTTGCTTTCCTCTTGTGGTACATTGGGGATGTTAATGTGATAAAGCCTTGCTGAAAGGAGTACATCACTAAGGTGGGTTCTAAAAGCTAACTGCTTTCTGATATTTACAATTCAGTTTCTTTGTTTTCTGCTTGTGGTTTGAAGACATGAGCCCAAATAAACTCTTTTTTTATAAAATAAGAAAGAAAGAAAGAAAGAAAGAAAGAAAGAAAGAAAGAAACTATGAAAGAAAAAGAAATTGCTTTAAAAGAGGTTAATTGTGAAGCAAAGCCTCAAAGTTCAACCTGTTAAATTGTGTGGGCCTTGCACAAGCATACATATTGAGAATTTTTATTAAAATAATACTTGAGTGGTATATTCATTATTAATATTTACTTTGACTATATCTTTCAATAAAGCTGTGGTTAATCCTAAACCAGCTGTGTACCCAAATCACCACACAGAGACTGGGATTTATTTAGTTAGCCTAGATCAAAATGCTGGGCAATAGTTACTCCATTCTAAAACTCCAAGCCCCCATAGTTTCATAACATTTAGATGTTACCCATTATACTTGCTTTTTGTGAAATCTTAGGTCTGGATCATTTCTCCATGTCTTTCCAAGACCTCTCCTCCAGCCTCTGCTCTCCCAGTTTTAGCCCTCTTCTCCTCCTCTGTCTCTTACTTCTTCCTGTCCTCTGGTTCCTCCTTTCTCCCTCCTATTCCTTCATCTCTATTGCTCAACAATGTGGCTGGTTGTTTTATTTTGGCATGTTTACACAAAGTTGAGACAGGTGCTGCTTATAATAATTATCACAATGCAATGTCTGGATTGAAACCAGAGAGTAGGGGAAGGAAATCAGTATTTGAATGAACAATGGTAAGGTGTATACATTCCAAAATAGCATTATACCAACACTTGAGGGATATAGAAACTATTAGAAGAAAACCACATGTCTTCATTCACATTCATAGAATACTTTTGCCAGAAATTTAACAGATTCTATTTAAATAAATGTTGCTTATTGTTTAACAGAATGTCTGAATTAAAGTCATTATTTTTCAAAGCTACATAATCACAATTTCTAAAAATTATACAGAATTAGATGTTCTAAGTATGAAATATCACTTCTTTATGACAAATATATTTTATATTAGGGAATGTCACAGTGGCTTGCTTCATAAAAATTTCTATGTTTATAATAGAATCTATTTACCTTTTAAAATTTTTTTCTTAATTTTTCTTATTTATTACTATTTTAATTTATTCACTTTGTATCCTTGCTGTAGCCACTTCCCTCATCTCCTCCCAGAAAACCCTCCCTCTTCCTTCTCCCACTATGTCCCTTCCTTTATGAACTTATTGAATCAACCTGATTGTTGATTCAACCTCTATGTACCCTATGTGTCCTAGTTAATTTATTCAGTGGTTTTTGTTA